TTCGTGCACCCCGCACTGCCGGCAATGTCGAGCCACGGGCCACGTCGTGCACGCATCGTCGAGGGCCCAGAGCCTTATGCCCCAAGCGCGCGAACTCGGTTTTCACGGTCCGGAGCTCTGGCTCAGCATGTCGCCCCGCCGTTTTTGGCCCACCCCATGACCAAGCGTCAAAGCCCCGAGCCTCTTCCAGCCTTCGCCCCGCAGAAAAGAGCGACACGCTATCAGCTTGTAGGGCACAGCGTGCCGCTGTGGCCGAAGCCCTTGACACGCCGAGCAGCAGTGCCTCGCCGCTCCCTCGAGTCGAGATGCACCTCTTCCCGGCCCGGGATCCCTATCTATCGGAGGCGACGATGGGGGTGAATAGCGCAGCAATGCACGTACCCCTCTCGGAGCCATGCCGAAGACATGGACCATCAGCCTCCATGGGTACATGTGTTGCTCTCCCCTGGGCTATTCGCTCCCATCGTCGCCCCCGAATCTGGGCGTTTGCGTCACAGTCTGGAAGCCGCGCCCGAGCTCAATGGCCAATGCCACTGCGAAGTTCTTCCAGCAGGTGCCCCTGGGAGCTCCCTGGACAGGGGCAGAGCAAGCCTCAAGCCTCAAGAATGGATTTGGCCCCCTATCGTGTGCCTCACCTCTTTGACGTACCATTCCCGTCCTCCTCGCCACTCCGCGCTTCACTCGTCCTTCCTTGCTCCTCCCTCGCCCCTCCCTCCTCCTCGCCCCTCCGTGCTTCCCCCTGTCCATCCTCCCCCCCCTCGCCCCTCCCCCCTCCCCTCGTCCCTCCCTCCTACCCCTCTCCACCGGCCGTGCCTGTTTCTGCTGCGCGTGAGCTATCCAGTTAGCTCTGCCGCCTGAAGCCGTTCCCCTGCTTGGAGGATCCTGGGGAGGAGGGAATGGGATCGCAGTGCGACTGCTCTCTCCCAAAACCCCCGACGTTTCGACGAAAAGTGAGGCCGCCTCAGAGAAGGAGGGGAACCCTAGGATGCAGCCCCAGGGGGCCTTTCCGGACGCACCCCATATCGAGGATGAACTCCTCCCCCATTGTATATCCCAGGGTTGGGCCCCAAATGTTCGGTCCATTCGGGAACCCCACGAAGCCAGGGATAGGAGTCGACTTATCCCCTGTTAGGGGAGGAGTTGGAGTACGTTCCTCTGATCGCTTCACATGATTATCCATGCTTGGGATATTCATAAGCGTGGCAAGCGATCTCGTAACGTGGCCCAGCCGAGATACAGTGAGCGAAGTTTGGGCCCTGCGGTCCTGTGAGGGAGCCTCGCATGCAGCTCTGGCGGACAGAAAGGAAAGCGGTCAGACATTTCTGCCGTTGCAAGCGCGGTGGCGGATCATCGAGCTGCGCAAACGACGGCATTCTCGCCCCGTCCTCCACGTCATGCCGCCCTCTCCTCCTCCTCCTCCTCCTCCTCCTCCTCCTCCTCCTCCTCCTCCTCCTCCTCCTCCTCCTCCTCGTCTCCTCCTCGTCCACCCTTCCCCTCTCCTCCTCTACTATCCTTACACCCTTCCCGTTCCCCCCCCCCTCCCCCTCCCCCCTTTGGCACAGGCTCGGCAGCCCGTGCCGAGCGGCCCATGGGTCCGGCAGGGTTTTGTCGGCTCGGGGCCCACTGCACGGTCGATCGATCAGGAGCCCTTCTTGCGGGCCCCAGCAATATGCACCACCACCACCACCACCATCTCCAATCCCCCTCGTCTACCTTCCTCTTCCCCTCTTCCTTCCTGGGAGAGGGAGGGGGTGAGAGAGGTGGTGGTGGTGGTGTATCCTTTTGGGCCCTGTCTCGAAGTTGCTGTTTTTTCCAACGCTCGGCTCAGGGCCTCGGCCGCCACCTGTGTGCTTCGAGCCAGCGCAGCACTGCCAGAAAGAAACACAACCTGGGCGTCGCTCCTTCGGTCGGCGGCCGTGGGCGATTCTACGCCGTGCCTGGGCGCCTGCCGGGACACCGAAGCGTGCGCACATTGAGCGCAACTGGCGAAGCGGAGAGGACGACGAGGGCGGCCGCAGAGGGGCGGCCGTTGCCAGAGGTGGCCCTGGCCCCCCGAGGAGAGCACGCCCTGCCCACGGAGGCCCCCGGAGAGCACGCCTCGCGTGGCCCGGAGGGGCCCCGCGGCGCCAGGCGCGGCGCGAAGTGCCGAGGGCACCTTTGGCCAGGGCCGCTACTTGCGAGACCCGGGAGGGGGGAGAGGAAGCGACCAGGGCGAGCACACGTCCGCGGGAGCAAATTTCATGGCGCCGAAATCGCAGAGCGGATTTCGTTCGGATTTCAATCGGCTGGACCCGGAGAGTCCTTCCTGGAGAATTTCGTTCCGGATTTCGAAGTGAATTTCGTGCGGTTTCTTTTGGCCAGGCATGACGACTAACCAAATTCACGTGAAACTCACTGCGTTTCCCGCTCGCCGTGTCGGGGTTTTACATTGACAGGAGTCCACGCAAAAATCTGCTGCAGCACGTCTGCAAGGTCGGTGCAGTGACAAATAATGGTAGTCTGGTATGCCCTCTTAATCCCGTCTCCAGCGCCGACTGGCGTCGATTGGCGTCCTGGAGTCGATGAGATAGCGCCGACGTAGCATCAGTTGGCGTCGATCTAGCGTCGATGCGTGTCGACCAGCGCTGATTCGCAGGGGCCGACAAGATGGTACGGCAGGCTCCCGTGAGTTGCCACCGAACGCGTCGTCGTGATGACGCCGCCCAAGAGGAACACACTCGGCAACTTCGAAGGCGAGCTGGGCAGCGCCGCCGACGTCCTCGGTTTCCTGCGGGCGACGCTGCCGCTCGTGACGGAGCCCGTGCCCCTCCCCTGCCCCTTCTCCCTCGAGGAGCCATCCAGGCAGCCCCGAATCGAACTGCGTGTGTTGGGAAGTCGAACCTGCTCCCCCCCAAAAAATAATGCGCGTTTTGGAAGCAGGTTCGACTTCCCATTGCACGCAGCTTTTTGGGGAGCAGGCTCGACTTCCCGATACACGCAGTTCTTGAAAGGGGGGGGAAGCAGGTTCGACTTCCCAACGCACGCAGTTCATCTCGGGTCGACGTGGATGAAGTCGGCGTGGGAGGACAGGGGGATGAATCGAAGAAGAAACAGTGGCACGAACACAAACTTTTGGCGCTCCGCGCGGATTTCGTGGATCCGCGCTGGGCACCCTCGGCGGCGCCTCCGGTTCCGCCCCTGACGCGCTCCGCGCGCCAGCGAGGGGTCCCACGCAGATCCAAGAAATCCGCGCGGAGCGCCCCATGCCGTTGTGCCTTCTCCTGGGATAGGAAAGCCGCGCCACCACCACCACCACTGGGGGTGCTACCTCCAGCGAGGGGGTCCACGATGCCTCCGCGAACTGGGGACAGGGGAAGTCTCGAGCGCGGAGGGGGGGGCCACACCACCAGAAGGTCTCTCCGTAGCGCCTCGCGCTGGTGGCGGGGGAGATGCCATTCCACGTGCCTACCAGGCGATGCGCGCGCGACCCGTCCACTGGGACCCCAGTTGGGCGACCTCGAGACCAACAAGTTCCATAAGCATTGTCTTTTGGAGGTCCACGCTGCTTCCTTGGGTCGGCGCTAGGTTTCGCGGGCGGGCGCTGGGCTCGTCTCCTCCTGGCGCGGAGCACGGGCGGGACAGCGCTCCCAGCGCGTTCCGCTGAGGGAAAAGGGGGACTCCTGCGCGGACCCAAGAGACCCGCGCAGATACCCGATCTGCTACTACGCAGTCTTACGCTTGGGTGGGCGGGCGCATGCAGTGCCTGCCCACAGCAAAAGCTCTGCTCACATTGGTCGTGCACATCTTCGTGCGCATGCATCCGAACGGTTTTTATGCAGCAGCCTGTCGCGTCAATTCGCTTGCCCTTCTCACAACGAGAGCATACCTCCGCACAGCGGATCTCCGAACATCTTGCGGATTCCCTATCATGCGGAATCACCGCGGCATTAACCTGGCATCATCTCTGACGCTTCGCAGCGCCGCTTCGCCCTTCGGGATGCCAGGAGCCGTGGGCGGAGAGCTTATCCGTATCCACCGCCTCGCGGTCCAGAGTCACCTGCTGCGAGTCGTGACCTCGGGGGCGCGGGGCGGCTCTGTGCGTGGGTGCCCCGCGGGGAATGTACCCTTGCGGTCGCGCATCGACCAGGCCGCGTCGCGGTTATCCATACCACGTGGGCACAGACACGGACATGTTCGGTCCGTCGCTCGTGAAGAATTCGAAGCTGGCGCCTCAGGTCCGCTTGCGGCCTCTGCGCTCTCGGGCCAGTGCGCAGCCCGGTGTGCGGGCGCTGGCCTGGGTTCGCTCACAGACCGCGTCGCGCGACACATGGGCTCAGCAGGGGCAAAGTGGTGGCCGCGCAGGAAGCGGCCATCTGAGATCAGAGGGCTCCCTCAAGCATGTATGGGGTCGGCGATGGAGGGGAGGAGATGCGCAGGAGTACCAGGCGGATGCGAGGGCGGAGACGGACGACCCAGACGTTTGGCGGCTCGACCTGTATTGGCCCCCAAGCCGCTCGACCCTTCCTAAGAGCCGGTGGCTCATCCCCTGGGTACCTGTTCAGGGCCCGAAGCGGGCCTGCTGAGGCCCGGAAAGTGTGAGCGGTCGTCAGGATCTGTACCGGAGAGGGGAGCAGCGACACCAACACCACCAGGGGGGGGCACCTCCAGCGAGGAGGTCCACGAGGCCTCCCCGAGTTGGAGGCCAGGGATCGAGCGGGAGGGGGAACCACACCACCAGGGCGACACCCATGGCTCCTTGCATCTCCTCGCCCTGGTGGTGTTGATGTCGCCTTTCCTGGCTCCCATTCCAAGAGCTGGGCTGATCCCCTGAGTAGTTGTTTAGGGCCCGAGGCGGGCTTGCGGAGGCCCGGAACGTGTGAGCGGCCGTCAGGATCTGTACCTCGAGCCTTCCGTAGCCATCTTGGCTCAAGGCTCAAAGCAGGCTCATCATATCGACCCGTTCTCGACAAACCACTACTGAACAGATACATCTGTGAATCTGGACATCCGACTTCCCCACGATGATGCGGCGCGCTGGTGTTGCAGCGGTTCTGTGTGGGGAGCTGTCCGCGTGTTCGCACGCTTTCGTCGTGAAGCACGATCGCCACATCACCGCAGGCACGGGCAGCGACGAATCGGTGCTCGACCAGGGAGCAGCAGACGAAGACACAGCGGGGAAGTTTCTGTCGAGTCACCACAGCAGCCAGTACTTCATCGCCGACCTCGATGATGACCGCATGATGCTTGTGACCGACCTTGGGGAGGGCTCTGCGCTGGACAGTCACGAGGGGATAATCGCAGACGAGGTGAGCTTAACGTTGTCACCCAGAGCTCGCCAGAATGCCCATGCTGCACAATTCGAGGCAGAGTTCAAGATTCATTTGAACATGACCCAGGCCCACGCCACAGGCATGCCCATGGGGCTAGAGCTCTCATTCGATACCGACTATCAGCCCGTGTCGGTCAGCAAGGTCAAGAAAAACGGCCTTGTGGAGGAGTGGAACACGGCGAACCCTGGCAACGATGTACACGTGGGCGACGAGATCGTTCAGGTCAACAGCATCCAGTGGCACCACAACACCCCTGATTTCGTCAAGCGCATCAGCGGCCAGTTCAAGGCCGGACGCAAGCTGACGGCTGGGGCGAATGAGTTGTTGACTCTCTACATCCAGAGGCCGAAGCAACAGAGTCACAAGCGCTTCCCGGCGCAGCGGGAGGACGCCCATCACAAAGCTTACCCCGTTGAGTTCGATGCCAAGCTTACCGTTCTCCCGTTGGGGCTGCCCACGAGCGCCTCGGAGAACGAGGTCATGGGCTGGGAGTTGTACGCCAAGAACGACTGGGACCCGGTGTCGATCGGCAACGTCACGAGCAGCGGCGCCATCGCCGCCTACAACAGGGCCAACCCAGACCGCGCCATCATGGCCGGGGACGAGATCGTCAAGGTCAATGAGGTCGCTTGGCACCACAGCGCCAAGATCTTCCGGCAGCGCATCGCGCAGAAGTGCACGATCTTCCGCAGGCAGGCGTCGGGGTCCGAGCCGCTGGTCCTCTCCATCCGCCGGCCAGCTGCGGTCCACCAGGCTGCGGAGGCGGCGAAGGATGCCTCACTGGCTGCGGCCCAGGGCCGCGTCGACCCAGCCCAAAGTTCTGCTGCGCCCGAGCCGACGCTGAAGAGCAGCGGGCCGTCGGAAGAGCGAGTCCGAACTCTCGCCGAGTCCCTCCAGGCGGCAACCGACAGGGTCGGGGCCCTGAGTGCAGAGCGCAGCGAGGTCGTCCAGCAGCTCTCCCAGCTCGTGCGCAGGAAGGCGAACATCTCGGCCGAGCTGGCCGCCGCGGAGGAGGCCCAGGAGGAGCTGGAGGCCGAGCGCGACGAGGCCCTGCGGAGGGCGGCGCCCGCGGAGCAGCCAGGGGGCGCCCCCGGAGCGGGCAGCGGGGCGGTGGCCTCGGCGCCGCCGGCGCAGACACCCCCGGGCGCCTCGGAGGAGGACGGCAGGCCTGCGCCCCCCGGGAGTGCCAACGACGGCGGCGCGGTCGGCGCCTCGGAAGGTGACGAACAGCCCGGTGCCCCCGAGAGCGGCGACGACGTGATCGGCGCTTCGGAGGGTGGCGACGAGTAGGCGCCCAGGTGGGGCGGTGCCCCAGGCTTCACATCTCCCGTCCCACCTCCAGGGAGTAAAAGAAGGCGGCACGCGGAGGCGGCCTCTTGTCCCCCCCCCTCCGCTTACTGCAAGTTCGGTTGTTGCATCGACTCTTGAATCTCCTGCCTCCTAGCTGCGGCCCGATGTTGGCCCTTTCTTCATCTGAGGTTCGGGTTGACCCTGTAGGGCAATCCACAGGTTTCAACGCAGCACTTCTTTAATCTGATTGCCGCCGCCTCGCGCCTTTTCGTGGCCTCCTCCGCCGGTCGGCTTCTGGCATGCGCCAGCTGCCGCGGGAAGCGTGTAGATCGCTCGCCGTCCGTGGTCCAGGGGACCCGCGAGCCACCGGAGAACTCCTGAGGGGCAACAACAAAAATTAGACATTCCCAAGGGGGTTACATACAAACAAACAGCCCATACCCCCCCATCGCAATCCTTTTGGGCGCGGTGCAGCGTGCATCGTGCGAACACCCTCTTCACGCGTGCCTGCCGATCGCTCCAGGTGTGTGTCCAAACTGGCCACCATGCCCTTCCTGCGCAAACAAAAAAAGGATCTGTACCTCGAGCCTCCAGGTGTCTTTGGGCCGAGGGGTGTCGAAGTCCCTCCGGGGATCTGTCCCCCGGGAGCGTCTTGACGGATTTGGGGAAGCCCCCCCGAACGCCCAGAACGGGGGGAGAATTTCAGAAACGCTGGATCGAAGAAGAGAAAACGGCACAAACATAAACTTTTGGCGCTCCGCGCGGATTTCTTGGATCCGCGCTGGGCCCCCCCCCCCCCCCCCCCGCGCCGCCCATGGCGCGCTCCGCGCGCCAGGGAGGGGGGTCCAGCGCAGATCCAAGAAATCTGCGCGGTCCTGCACAGGTTGTTGTTTATGCCATTGTATCTTCCTCTACATGAGCCAGGGGCAACGGCAAGGGGGGAGTAGGCTCAGGGGGGGACCGGATCGACCCCCAGTCACCCAGTCTTCGCCGAGATGGCCCGATAGCCCACCCCGACCAGGAGCGTGCGGATTCTTGGTTGCTGATCTATCGGCGATGTATCGCCGATTCCAGCTTGACGTTTCCCCCCCCCGAGCCAGTCCCCGCTTCTTGTTGAGGAGGAGAGTCGGTCCTTGCGTCTTGGAGGGGCGATAGATGCGGGGGTGTAGCAAAGGTGCACCTGTCGTGCACTCTGGGCGCCCCAAAGGGGCCTCCGGGGCCCCAGAAAGGGACACGAAAGGTGCATGTTTCCCCCCCCCTCCCCCTGTATAGTCGGGGCGCTGAAAAAGGAACCCTTTTCGTTGGGGAGGGGCTCCGTGTGCTTTAGTTGTCCGACAGTTTGCCGCAGGTTTTCCTCAGGTGTTCCATGGGACATCGAAGTTCAATGTGTAAAGAACAGGGGCCCCGTTCCTTATTTAGGGCTCCTTAGGCCAACGCCCCCCCTTTCTCGCCTCCGTTACCGAGTAGCGCCCAGGAGAGCTCTTCCATCCGGGGCTCCTCGGGCCGCCCGCGTCGGGGGAGGCTCCGGCCGGCGGCTGTGCGGGCGGCCGCACCGGCGCCCGCGAGGCGTGCCCGAGGCGCTCCTGCCCGCCCCCCTCTCCCCCCGCACCAGTGCCGACGCAGGCTCGAGAAAGAGCAAAAGCGCCATGAACATGAGCCGTTGGCGCTCCGCGCGGATGTCTTGGATCCGCGCTGGGCCCCTCCCCCCCGGCGGCGCCTCCGGCGTCACCCCCCGTGCGCCCCGCGCGCCAGGGAGGGGCGTCCAGCGCAGATCCAAGAGATCTGCGCGGAGTGTCGAAAGTTTCTCTGGATGGCGTTTTTTAGAGTCGTAAAGGCGCTGAGAGAAGCTGGGCCTCCCAGATGTGGTCCGAGCAGGTGGGGTCGGAGGATTGGGCCGGGCTCGATGTGTGGAGACCGGTTTCCTCCCCGCCGACGTCACCGCCGCATGGGCAATCCATCGCCGATGTGTCGGCAATGCGGTGCCATCTTCCTACCCCATCTACTCGGACCCCATCTATGAGGCCTCTCATATAACTAACCCGCGCCCGTTGTGGACCTTACAGCTAAGACGCTGAGAGAAGGATCACTATGTCGGTAGCAAATCATAGAAGCCTTGCGTGTCTTCGAAATCCGTCTGTCGAGTGCACCAGCATGCGCTAGCGTCTGGCAATCGATGGGAAAGCGCAGATGTTACGTCGACGAGCGTCGAATTCGCGTCGGTTAGCGCTGGTCAGCGCGAGCCAGCAAAATGACCTAGGAGTCCGCCATGAGTTGCCACCGAACGCTCTGGGCACTCAGGCGGGGCTCTGGTTTCCTGGCCGCTGCCGAGACGTGGGGTCTGGCAGCCTCGCCCCCTGCCGCTGGCCCCCCTTTCTTAGAATGGGACTTGCCAGAGCTGTGTTGGGATGTCTGGACGCTGACGTGAAGCAATGTCGGGACTTCACGCGAGGGCCAATAGTAATTTACGAGGGTTTACGGCTTCGGTGGCGCGATGATTAGGTAATTTGTGATGGTGTATGGCTTCGGGGGCGCATCTATTGTGTAATTTACGTGGGTCTGTGGCCTCGGGATCGCAACTATGATACAGATTTACGCGGGTTCATGGCCCTGGGGACGCGAATCTTGAATAATGATGCAAGGTTTTATGAGGGTTTGTTGTTTCGGGGGCGCAACTATTGTGTAATTGACACGGGTGTGTGGCTTCGGGGGCGCGAACATTGTATAAGTTACAATGGATTATGGGCTCGGGGGCGCGAATATTCTAACCTTTACAAGGGCTTATGGCTTCGGGAGCGCGAATATTGTTTCATTTGCAAGGGTTTCTGGCTTCGGAGACGCGAATATTGCGTGGGTTACTTGGGATTCTGGCGGGGACGCGGACATTGCGTAATTCACGAAAACACGAATATGGCATAATGTTTTCGGGATTATGGCCTCGGGGACGCGAACATCATGTATTTTTACGTGTCCCACGACCTCCTGGAATGCAGACAACGCGATTCGGGGACGCTAACCAGTACGTTTTTCGGCTCCCCCCCCTCGCGCGTTCAGCAACAATGAACAGTAAGGAAGCAGAAAGCAGGACTGTAACAGTGGATACTGGAAACTGCAACTGGCACAGGGAGCTGCAAGCCTAATCTTCGCAGCCTGATGGCCCCGCAAGGTGGCCGGTGGATTTGTCGTCCAAAATCCGCCTGTATAGGAGGGCATGCATGCCCGACCTAACTATAGGCCCATCGCAGATTGCTCTAAGAACCCCGTGTGGTTCGCATGGCACGTTCTTAGAGCAGCTCTGGGCGAGATTGCCGTGCTGTCACATAGATCGGCGTTCTGGTTTTGGAGCTTGGTTTTTGAGATTCGAACGCTGCTGTGTTCTAAGCACAGGGCGCGGTGGGCCTGCAGGACTGCCGGTGCCCTCGGTCCTGCGTCTGTATGCGAGCATGGCTCCTGGGGGAGCTCGAGAGGCTCTGGCCCCGCGTGCCTCGCTCCGAGCAGGGCCCGGGCACCCGCGCCCTCGCCGCATCGCAATGCTGGGCTCGGCGCCTCGCTCGCCCGCCTCCCCTCGCCTCGGAGGCAGCGTCTCGGGGGGCTCGGCAGCGCGGCTCAAGGCTTTCGGGCATGTCCGTGGGACCACGGCGATTCCCCAGCCTCGGGGTTCTCCTCCTCCTCCTCCTCCTCCTCCTCCTCCTCCTCCTCCTCCTCCTCCTTCGGGTCCTCCTCCTCGTCCTCCTCGTCCTCCTCCTTCTCCTCCTCCTCCTGCTCCTGCTCCTCCTCCTCCTCCTCCTCCTCCTCCTTTCGAACGTTCTGGTCGGTTCTCGGCGGCTTTCCCAGCCTCGGGATGCCTTCCAGCGGCTGCGCCTCGCCGAGGATGTTGGGTGCCCTGCTCGTCCCGAACGGCCGCCGGAGGGCCGAGTTTGGGCCCGGAAGGCTCAGAGGCGACGTCAGGGGGGGGGGAGAATCTGGCTCACGTGGGGACGCATCGACCCCCGATCGCACACTGAGGGCCGATGGGATGGGGGGGGCCGATGGCCCGCCCCGCCCAGAATACTGTGCGGATGCGCTGTTGGGGGGCCATCGCCGATGCCAGCTCGACGTTCACCTCCTCCTCCTCCTTCTCCTCCTCCTCCTCTTCCTCTTCCTCCTCCTCTTCCTCTTCCTCCTCCTCCTCCTGGTCCTCCTCCTCCTCCTGGTCCTCCTCCTCCTCCTCCTCCTCCCCCTTCCCCTCCTCCTCCTCCTCCTCCTCCTCCTCCTCCTCCTCCTCCTCCTCCTCCTCCTCCTCCTCCTCCTCCTCCTCCTCCTCCTCCTCCTCCTCCTCCTCCTCCTCCTCCTCCTCCTCCTCCTCCTCCTCCTCCTCCTCCTCCTCCTCCTCCCCCCATGAGCGGGTCCTCCTTATCGAGGCCCTCCACGCTCGCTCTGCCCGCCCCTTCCGCGCTGGTGCCGAACCTCACCTTGCCAGTGGCTCGGCATCGCTCGGACGTGTCGGCGAGGATTATCGAGGAGCATGTTGAATCGGTTTGCGACAACACACACACACAAGACATCGAAAACATACGCGGGGAATGGACGTCCGAACGATGGCGAGGTGGTGGGCCTCGTTTGGGCATGGTTTCCAGAGAAGCTTTGAGGGACTGCGGCATCGGACGCCTCGTCTAAAGCGGGCGCGGGCGCGCTCGCCTCGACGCTTGGCGCCGGGATCGGCGCCCCGCGTTCAAGCTCCCCCCTCGCTGGCGCCCAGGAGGACGCCAGCTATACATCTGCACCGATCCTGGGCAGGCCGATCGCGGGCCCAGGGTCGGGGTATTTCCATCTCTGCCTCTGCCAGGAGAGGAGGAGGAGGAGGAGGAGGAGGAGGAGGAGGAGGAGGAGGAGGAGGAGGAGGAGGAGGAGCAGGAGGAGCAGGAGGAGGAGGAGGAGGAGGAGGAGGAGGAGGAGGAGGAGGAGGAGGAGGAGGAGGAGGAGGAGGAGAAGCGTGTGCACCGATGCTGGTCCCTGGGCCGGGCCGGGGCCAGGATCGGCGTGTCCAAATGCACAGTTGGCGCCCGCGTGCGTCCAGGATGTGGGGCCCGTCTCGGGGGCAACTTTCGGGGGGGGGGATGCTCAGGACCGACCGAATGGAGGAGGAGCAGGAGGAGGAGCAGCAGGAGGAGCAGGAGCAGGAGGA